GAAAGTTAATGACACAATCGGTAACGGTTGATAGAGCCGGGTCCTGCACGAGTTGCAGGCCGCGTCGCGAGTCAAGTTACAAGATTGGAAGTCGGGGGAGGGGGGGGGGCCAGGGACAGGAGAGAACAGAGAGGGCAGAGCTGCTTTGCCACAGCCCATTGGAGCATGTTTGCGACCTAACGTGCAGTTGGATAACTGGGGACTGACTCATGACATGACTCGTAAAAACTCAGTTACGACTGGAACTCGAGACTATAGATCATCAACAAGTCCATGCAATAGGCAGTCAAGAACTTTCTTCAGTTCACTTTACTTTATAAGCCTTTGTTTTCATGCTCTAGAAGAGAACACTGACATATGGCATCTTGTGAAGGCGAAAATTCAGCATACAGAGGAGGGGGGCATCTCCCAGGAATGATAAAGCAGTGTGCTAATCAACAATTTAGACCGTTGATGAATATTTAGACCGTGTCCAACTTGTGGCTGTGGCTCCAAATGCCACATATGGCTATGAAAGTCAGAGGCTAGCGGCTGCAGCCACTTCCCACAGAGGTACAGTACATGCTACTCCCAACCACAGCTAGTTAGTCCAGACACGGCTTGATACTTTGTTCCAACAGCAAGCACACTGCTTCCACCATTGCTGAGTACCCCAGCAAATCTATCTTATGCTAGAACTTCTGCATGATTTTCGCATGCTAAGTACAAGAGAACACACATATTTCATTTCAATATGCACATTCTCTTGAAAACCATTCCGTGAAAATGATCAGAAACCGCAACACTTTTTGAAGAATATGCTCACTGAAGACTGCCCATAAATATTCTCTCTTGGTAGTCTTTAAGGTTAGAAAAGGAGTTTCAACGTCTCATGAGACAGACATGGAAGGTGCACGGTGATTATGAACGGCAAGGAAATGCTGGTGGAAAACCGGATTTATCCAGGTTTGCAATTTTTCTTAAGTTTGAATTTCTTTGCTCAGATGGTAAATCTAGTCAGCAATCTGTCTACTGTCACTGAGCTGGCATGGTGCTATGACATTCAGTAAAAAAAAAAATTCCAAGATTTCACAGCAAAGAGAAAAATTATGGATCAAATTATGAAATATGAATTAGTGGTAAAAAAAACAGATGTGCCCGCACATTGAAGGTGGGAAAATGTTACAGCAAGAGAAATTAACTACTAACATTGAAAATGAACATTAAGACAAGTTGAGAGGAAACATGCAAATGTTAATTATTAGTACAGCATTAAAGAAAACTCAATGATGAAAGAACAGACCACCATTCCTCGCAACACATGACCAAAATGATAAAAAAGTTATTAAAACCGCAGCCATTACAGCGATGCATGCAACCTTTTCATCTTGGTTTAACTATATTCAAGTGACAAAAGTTCCTTCCACCAATGAACAGTGAAGTGTTCTATTAACTGCCCAATGACCAGAAACAATGCAACAAAAAGAAATGGTTTACAGCAGAATCCAGGTTACGGACTCTGAAACACAAAAACTCATGAGAAACCAAAACGGAGTAACAAAAAAAAAAAAGAAGATATTGATGGAAAATTTACAGCACAAGGTTCGCATTTACAGCTGCCAACCCATCTGAAATGTTTCTCCAACGCAACTCACCAAAATACAACCAGACCGGGTTTCCACACAGAATTAATCAGGACCGTCCACGTGGAATACGGGGAAATCCACATGGAGGTGGTGTGAGAAATGAAATTGAAATGGAAGGAATAAACAAAAATGGCACATGATGATTACAATGGGTAAACTGGGAATGTGGCAACAATCACTGTCAGCCTCAACTGGAGATTTTCTGTGGCAAACAAGTCCATTGGTGACGAGCACAGTTTCAAGATTCCCATATGATTACAGCTGAATTTATCAACGTGTGCAGAACAGCAGCAGTACTTATCGGCTCACTGTCCACATTGTGGAAAAGCCATCTTTTGTGGAGTGATGGATTCACAAACAGCAATAAGCATCAAATCTGAAACTTTTGTGAGGGAGGACTGACACACTCGACATATTTTGGTGCTGCTCTGTGGTCTGATCACCAAGTGGACTAATGTTTTGGACATCACCGAGAACCAAATAAGGCTGACTTCTGCAAAAGTTAATTAAACAAAAAAACATCAAATACAAATATGATTTGGATCAAAGAGCAATGCAAAAGATGACATTAAAATCATGCAAACTATATGTAACAATCCTCTCATGCACTGATGTAGACTTGTTAAAAGTCCCCCCCCCCGCATGCAAGAGTGACCGCTACAACTCCTCGCAACTAGTCTATTGATGAAATTGGTGGAACAACGGCACATCGATTTTCAACAAATGTGTGGGATTTATTTTGCCAGGGAATCTAAGCTACTCATCCAGGTGTAAAAACAGGCGTGCTCACAGACAAATCTATTTCCCCCCTTCCCCACCACAACACCAAACAAATCAGATGTCTTTGCAATTGTGCACCCTTTGCTTTGGGTTACGCAGCCTGCGACGCCGCCAAAACGTTGTTCAGCTTGCCCTTCCATATCCTCAACCCAACAACTTAGTGCACTGCTTCTCATTGGTAAAATTAAAATGTCAGTAAAGTAATCATTAAACACCAATGGCTGACATTGTTTTAAAACTATGTTGAAGCTGATGATGGGAAGATTTTCTGGACAAAGATTACTTCCCAAACGAGGCAAACTAATTCTTGAACTCAATGAAACAAATTCTCCAAACTTAAAGTCAAACGTTGTTAGCAGAAATACAAATATTAAAAAAAGACAAAGTGAACCTAGCAATGAAAACAATTAACAAAAACAAGCACCCCCCCAAAAAAGCAGACAATGAAATGCAGCCAAACATCCACAAGACACAGGGACGTTTTAACAGTTACCAAACCACCAATGTTCACCAGTCACTGAAGTCAGCATTGGTGGGGAAAAAAAGAGGACAAATAACTTCTTCAAACCACTTTTCCTCCATCAACAAACAATGGTACAAAACAAGACTCATCTCTCCAGATGTACTTCATTTAAGCCAGCTCCTACACTTTTCACTGGCTCAGACTTAATTTGCCCACATTGAACAATACGCGAAGGGCCACCACACGATACTGCTTATTATTCAGGGTTCCCTTATCCCCGAACACACAGCCTTAACAAGTTCCTCCACCAGACTACACTGGTTCTTGAAATCAGTTCCCCAGTACCACCAACATAGATGTACAGCTTAGGTTAGTTCCTTCAATGGGCAACACTGGTTCCCAACCAGTTCCTACTGCTGCAGGCACGCAGCTTAAGCCAGGTCCCTCCAGCACTGGTTCTGAAATTGGTTCTCCGCTTCACTAATATACAGCAACAGCTAGTTCCTCCACCGGATGGAACTCGTTCCCGGGTATCACCATTAACACACAGATATAAGCCAGCTCCGTCACCAGACAGAACTGGTTCCTCCACCAGAGAGCAAGTTCAGAGATGCCGCCCTCAATGATGTCTCACACCAGTTTTCACACACACGCACGAAACTGGACAAACACTGAAAAGTATAAAAAGGTTCCAACAAGTTCCTCCACCGAGTGGGATGGTTGAAAGTTTCTGAGTTCTGCGTAAGCACCAATTTTGCAAACTTTGCACATGAAACAAGCTTGCCAATGGAATGGACCCAGAGAATTTGGGTCTTTCCTACGCTTGGGAATAGGTGGCATGGAGTAGGGAAATGTATATAACCAATGTTGGGTAAACGGGAATGAAAGAAAAGCCAACAAATATTAACGGAATTATTAAACCAGAAATAATATGGAAAATATTCAACATCCAAATTTCATTTTTCAATTTCAACATTCTTTTCTTTTGTTTCAAATTTTAGCTTCAGATCACACTGAAGGTTTCGACTAAAAACTGATCGGCGTCTTACACCAACTCACGCTATTCTTGAGTAGGTTTGAATATTTTCAGGCAGGAAAAATCAACTACCTCGGACAAGTACAGTTGAAAAGAAAGTGACAGTAATTGAACTCAAAAAAAAAATAAATAAATAAAGCACACATGCGGACAAGAAACATCGGCATGGCAGATCTTTTTGGCTTGTCTCAGAATCACTAATGGTCAGAATGAATGGCACACTTGGTGCCAAACTTTTTCTTTTTCCACATTTCAGTGTTAAAAGCTATCTAAATGGCACAACACTGCCTGCATAAACATTCATTTCAACTGTACTCTGCCACTCTCCTACAAGAGGAGGGATCCCTTCATCTAAGAACCCTGCTTGGAAAATCACACAGAGGAGAAGACCCTTTATTTCACTCTGGCGGCTAAATGTAGGTATGGCTCAGTTTTTCTATCTTTTATTGTTTTTCTTTTTTAATCTATTTAAGGATAGTTGAGAACTGTGACCCTAAACACTGCTGAAATGGTTTCTATTTCTACTGATGTGCAGAGGTGAATCTTTACTCTAAGTTTCTACGGTACTTGTGATAGGTACGACATGTACGATGTGTTCATGGCTTAAAATCCATTTTAATTTTAGATATTGTCAACTGCAACTATTTTGGTTATTTGTGTCGCTAAAATATCTGGCGAGATTCAAATTTTAAGTAATTAGGTTTGGTGTTACACAAATTTATCACTGTACGTGTAGGAGCTATGAACTAAGTTTGAAGGCTTCTGAATGCTTTTCTAGCTTCCTAAAGCCTGTATTATGCATGAAAACTATTAAACAAATACAAAAAATAAATTAAAAAAAAATTCCCATGAATATCTCAAAAGAACGTTGGCCTGGTCACCAAAACTCATGATGTGAACTGATGTTGAAATTAAAAACACCACAAGTGGAGTCCATGCAGGGGAGGAAAAAGAAAACTCAGAAATCAAACCATGAACCGAGGTTTAGGGTTGGGTGGGGGGAAAAAAAAAATCTTTGGAGGGAACTGCAATATCACCTGCAACCTTAAGTTATTTTATACTGGTATCTTTACTTTAACCACTTCGGGCCGGGGCATTTTTCAACGTTGAGGATGCTGGGCCGGCATGACTATCATTTTTTCCGTTTTCAAAATCCTTCAACAATTCATCATTCCATTTAACAGTCGGTTTATAGCCGCACATAAACCGCACGGAGTAATCTTCAGGCACTACTCTAAG